GGTAGTAGACCAGGAAGGCACCTGATCCTCAATAATAAATTTGTTTTGGGACCTCTATTGTGAAAAGTTTTTTTCCACTGGAAAAAATGCACATGGAATCTCCCTTTACTTAGCTCCTGAGGCCAATGAAAGCTTGGGGCTTCTCTTGAGCTGAAGATCTGAGGCTGCAAAGCAAAAGGATTGCTGAGAACAATTACAAAGCACCTGAGAAAGGAAGCTGAATACAATCTATGAAAGGAAAATGAATACTACAATCAATTACAAAAGATCCCTCACCAGGAATCCAGATTTGTTTTGGTGATAGTTTATTATAGAAGTCCCCCTGTTTGTTTGAGGGGGGGGGACCCCCCTTTACTAATCAGGATCCAACATTACCCAATTAGGTCCTAACCTGGTCACGTTCCACCTCTCTTGGCTGATTGTTCGCGATGACCTGACCATTTCACACAATATGGCGAGTCTGAAAGTGGGTGAAGATTTGGGTGACTTGAGAGAGGAGGGGGGTGAACGAAAGGTAGCAGGGAATCATGCGTAAATACCGGCGTTTTCTGCCGGGAAGGTGCACAAAACCCTGTGAATACAATAGTGTTGTGCAATTTTGAAGCCCCCAAAAGCCTCAAAAACCCTTTCCGACAAAATATGTCCTGGTTTTTGGTTTTTGTTTCGGTCATTTTTCTAACCGAGACGCATCAAAAACCATCGGTTTTTGCGGTGTTTGTTGCCGGACAGCCACAAAAAACACTGTAAATTCCATGATTTTTGGTCACTGCTGAGGACTGGAAGATCTGAAAACACTGGTATTTACAGTGTTTTCGAACCGTTGACCCCGAGGCGCGCTAGGGTGGAGTTGAAGGGGGAGGGGGGGGCCCTTCCCCCCCCGGCCAGCAAACGAAGATGTCGGGGACCATTTCTCCGTGAGATAGGCTGCAGCTCTGGGTTAATACATTTTTGCTAAAGCAAAAGGAAAACTCAGGTAGCGTAACCGCTACCTTTCGTGACCTCCTCCCACACCATCCATCGGCGAAGACCCTGTCTCTTCAACCCCCCCTTCTTCTCGGCCTCAGTGATCTCGTTAACGGCGTGGCTGGGTGAAAAGCACAAATGCTGCAGGTGGTCCCCGAAGGTGTCCCCACGTCCGAATCCCTCCCTTGCCCTTGCTGGTCCTAGCGGTCCCTTGGAATCCATCCCGGTCACCACCCAGAAAGGTTTCATGTGGGGCTGATGTTCCAGACACCCAATCCAAAGGATCCATGTAAGTCGGCTGGCCCACATCCTCAGGTTCGGTAGTTAGACCCCCATACCACCCACTCCAACCACCTTCTCCTCTAGCGCAGGGCATCCAGGCAGGCAACCCACGAGAGCTCGCTGGGAGTTCCAGTGGTTCCAATTCGACTAAAACACACTAAAACCAGTTCGACCGGCCCCTGGTTCCTAAAAAAGAAAGTGGGAACTGCCTGGGATGCACTGGGTTCGGACCGAGCGGGAGCAGGCCTCAGGCCTCATGGGCTTGGCACGGGCCTACCCTCCAAAGAACCCCAGCCTCAAGCTGACAGCATTCAAACATCGTCAAACCATGTTCAAAACGGTGTTTAGCTGCGTTTTGCAGGGTTTCGGTGTCAAACCCTTGAGTAGTAAAACAATGTTTTTTTGGTACTAAAGGCTTCTTAAAGATTCTCACTGGTGGTGGTACCAACTGGACCATCAACGGCGGGGTATATCAATAATTTGCCGCCCTTTGTGGAACTACCAGGTGCTGCATCGTTACCAGCACTCTGGCTCAACAGGTCACCCACATGCCACAGCCGTCGTCCATGGCGGCCAGCTGTAGAGCCGGGTGCTGGTTCCAATCCACCAACGAGAACTCCTAGCAGCCACATGCAGCCACCCAAAACCGACCCTCGTCGCTACACACAGCATACCCAAGACGCTCCATGGGACTGCCTTATATGCCTATACACCACCCCTGGCACCACCCCTGGCCTGATCGGCATGTATGGCATGCATGAACCGTCTGGGTACAGCACACAGCACTCGCTTCAGCGCTCCATTTCAGCGCTCCGTGGAGAGCCCCGCGCTCGCGCTCCTTTTCAGCTGCGCGACGGTCGCTGCCCGGCGCGACGAGCTGCAACGACCGGAGGTGGAGAGTGTTCGGGTAAAAAACACACCCGACATAGACCGACCGACCCAGGTTTTTATGATTCCGTTTGAGTATAAGCCACCAGCCCGAGCGCTTCTAGCTGCCTATTCCTATTAAGGATCCAACGGCCTTATCAAGAAGCAAACACACACACACACACAGTGACACACATCAGCACCCGCCTCGGTCCTTGCCGTGCCTATAGACCACCCTATTTAAACTATATATACAGTGGTGTGCTAGGTCGAAACCTGGCGTTGCCCCGGGGATGGTGTGCGTGCTAGGGCGAAACATGGTTTCCTTCGCCAGGTCCACCGACCTCCGACCTCCGAAAAACACATGGAGGGTCTAAGCCTTGCCAAAGAGCACCTAAAGGACAAATCTAATAGGAATGGCCTCCAACCTAGAAGCGATGGCCTCCAACCTAATAGCACTGTCTGAAGAACACCTAAAGAGCACCTTTGGCACCTAAAGGGTTCTGAAGCAGCAATTTGATGAACCACTCCCTACATCTCCTACCAGTCCAATTGGACCTTAAGTTAAACTTGCTCTGACCGACCGAAAATTGAGTGCATTTCCAGCACCCCTGTAGGGACATGAGGTCGGTAAGACCTGTAGGGACATTGACACGTTATCTGGACTTGCCACAAAAACACCTCTTTATACCTCTTCTCCCGCCTCCCGGTCTCTGAAAAGACATGCAAAACGATCTCCGGGACGTACCCCACAGGTGAGGGTGACCACGGTCGGATGGCCATTCCAGCCAGCTGCGGGTGTTCGGTGCTCGTTTTCCGCAGATTTCGGTGACTGCTGATTGGCTTCATCGAATTCACGTCCAGCTCTCGACGGCCCAAAGTTCACCGGTCGTCGCGCCCGGGACGACCGGGCCGTCGGAGCCGGGAGCGGAGCTTTGGCCCCGAGACCGCGACAACGCCCAGACGGAGAGTCGATGAAAAGGCCAGGATTGGATGGACTGACGCGGACATGTCCTGGAGACTGGACGGGTGAACTGAGATCACTCTCCACTGTTCTTATCGTGGGGGGCACTTCTCCCCTCAAAAAGGTGAAAAGGTGATCCAGGAACTTCCTGGGTTGGGAGTGTCATGTGATGCGCGGTGATAGCATGTGATAGCCAAACATGGGACTGGAAGGTAGAGTGTCATACCGCCCCTAAGGGGTGGTTAATGGACACTCCTTAACCTCTAATTGAGCTATTAATAAAACACCCTTAAAATCGAAAGGTGGGGCTCTGGCACATTGTCTTCTTCAACAACGCGCATCTGCCGTATTCAAGATGACCCATCATGCCACCCTATCCTAGGAGCCTCCCAGTCTCCAATTTGCTTTCCATGCGCCTCTGGATCGTCAATCTCTGACGGTTTTGCACGCCTTAAGTCCCTAGATTTTTCCCCCAACTGAGGAACCAAATAGCGATGGCCTCCAACCTAGAAGCGATGGCCTCCATCTGAGATTTCCCCGCATCTGAAGTTCAAGCCTTGAAACCGGTTTGGGCACGACATGCTCTGACACGCTCGGCACGAACTGGCAGCAAAATCAATCCAAATCAATCCAAACCTCCAATATCATGAACCGTGAGAGAGTGCCATCCCTAGCCTTGGTGATGGCAAATGTGTAGGGCATCCACAAAATGCACATGGAAGTGAGCGGAAAAGGGGCAGTTACATGTAGTTACATAATGGTGCATTTAGAGGGAAACATGTTCATCCCCACGGAACAAGTTCATCCCCACGGAACACTCCCCAAAATAATATATTGACTTGATGGTGAACCACTGGAAAAACATCCTTGGTCGTTAGACTCCCGGCTGAAAGCTTCACTTTTACTACAACAGTAGGTTAGAAAAGTCGCTCAGGAATTACAGGGGTCAAACATGTCAAAGCAACTCTATAGATATTTCCAGGGGCCCGAAGCAAACCATCAAAAATAGAGGTTTTCATATACAAAAAACCATGTTTTCTGCTGGGGAAAACCAGGTTTTGGATGGTTTCTGGGGCCCCTGGTCATTCATTCTAATACATGACAGCACAGTCCACCTTGGCCCTTAAAACAGTCCGTCCAGATCTGATCGGCCGAGCGTGAGGGAAAAGAAGTGTGCCCAAGCCTCCTTGAAACCGTACGCCGTGAGAGCGTCGCAAGTTTTGAGCCCTCTCAATGCGGCGAAAACTGCGCCTAAAAACCGAAGGCTCCATGGACCTGGGCCTCTTGAAATGCTCAGTGCCAGCGCGAGTGATGGGGTGAACTAGTTCACTGCATCAACGAAAACGGAGTCAAATGCAGCCGTGAATTTCATACAACTGCCTGGCCATCCAGTCCGAACCAGAAACAAATGGACGTTTCCCCAGTCCCAGTCACTTCCTATAGGTAAAGGATCTCACTCGGAACAACCTGTTTCTGGTTGGGACTGGATTTCGCTGGGGTGCTCCAAGCCGCGGAGCAAGCCTCGCCCCTCGAGGCCGTTTCTATCTGAGGTACAGGGAGAAGGGGAGAGGGAGGGAGTAGGTGAATGGAAGACTAGCCGAGAGGACCGAGATCACATGAATGGAGCCTAAACTTGGGGGGTTCAGACTTTTTGGGACCGGCAAATGGGAATAAGCCAATCATAGTCACCAGAATTCACCCACAGGGGAAACAATAAGAAACGCCACTCTAAGCAAGTCCAAGCTATATTAAAATACAATACCAAACTAACAAACATTAAACAAGCGCACCTGAAGGCAGGAAGTCTTTTCAATGTTGGCTTTGGTTTCATTCAGGCTGAAAAGAACACAACAAATATTAAAATGAATGACAAACCTCAAGAGCAACACCAATAAACCATGGAAAAAAGCAAGATGCCGTGCCATATTCAAATTATGCTTCTGATCAGGAGTCTGAATTTGGCATTATCATCGCGTCGGTGGACTTCTATGCCGAAGGCCACATTCATACTTTTGTAAGCACAGGAAAACATATGTTTGAATGATCTGTTCATCTGATAAGACCGATTCAAGAAGTTTGCTGCCTCTATCAGGATACAGTAAAACTGTTCAAGCTGTTGAAGCAGCCATGGAAGCATGACCTGACAGGATCGCTATATCAGGATAGTAGGCGCGTCGAGAGATTGTTGCAGCACTTTTGGGTAAGGCTTCACATGTAAATGTGCTTCACATTGTGTTGATTCCTTGTGTTAGGCTTTGGCACTAGATGTTGCCTTCGAATGTCCGTATATATTAGACTCAGTGTAAATGACATGTATATATATATATATATTTCTTTTCCACAGAAAGTTAATTTGAACTTTTGTTGAATATAATATGAACAAATGAAATCAAAACTACAGTAAATAAGCACCACCTCAAAAAGCAAGGCAATCACCCAAAATCATTTGTATGTGTTTGTCATTGGTTTGTTCATTGCTCTGTCTTCGGAATCTGCAGGAAGTTGCTTATCTTTGTGTACGAGGGTTCGTTCGGGGCGAACCTGGACCCTATCATTCGACGAACCTGGCATCTATCCATGTCATTTAACTGTGAACAAAGGGCCGTTGCGGACTCATGTGCAAGAACATGTGTTCGTCATTGTGTGCCACAGTTTGGTCAATGATGCTATGCTTCAAATGATAATATCTTAAATCAGGACTCAGGACGTGAGCTGAAAGGCGTTGTTCTATGATCACCATGTACTTGAAAAATATATAGCATCATATAGCATCTATATATATAGATATATAATATAATGATCTATATAGTACATAGCTATTTTCTTCTAGCTTGATGTTGAGCAATTGTTACTTACTTTTTGGGACTTATTTGTAAATTCGGTTTGATCTTAACACGACCCATGTTTTAAGCTATGTCGCCAAGGGGATGGAGAAACGAACATCTTCTGACTATATATATTAAACAAGGGTCATATTTTAAATAAAGTTTGATAGTCTCTCTCACTCCTGGCTGTTCCAAGTGTACGCGCCGGCCATCGAGCTGCCCTTTCCCCAGGTCCACGAAGATTCCCTCAACATGGCAAAAATGAGGCTCCCGACACGTCCGACCCTTTCTGCCCTTCT